GTTTGAAATACGTGTATTGTTGTCTGTATTTCAGAGCAGAACCTGGGTCTGAGTGTGGTGGGAAAAAAGCACGGGAAAGCTTGCCAGTTCTGGCTGAACAGTAAAGCAGCAAAACTACAAATAGTTAAGATTTTTTTCGAAAGGATATGCAAAGGCTTATACTTGGACTGTTTCTTCGTTGTTTTGCTCTTACATTAGCTGTCATTCTGCACTTCCAAATTTGTGCTGCTGTCCTCCTGTTACTACAGGCAAAGCAAGAACGTGGGTCCTTTTTGGATGAGTATGACTGCTTCAGCAACTGCAAGGATCTCTGGTTGGAATTTGTCCTCAGAGGCTGCAGAAATGCAGAGAGTCACGGCCGTTGGTTTAGCGCCATCGAGCACAACCATGATCCTTCCTGGCTGAACTTCTAGTTTAGCCAAGCTGTCGGGTTTTAGGGAGCCACTGTAATTGAAAAGGAGCCCTCCAGCAGTGAGATTAGCCTTTTTCCTCCTATTTTCTGTCCCATTTCCCACTCACTGAGTAGTGCCTTAATTGTCTATTTGCTGCTTTTGATAACTGTTTAGCAGGAAGAAGTGCTCTGACCCCCTTTAAGAAATCAGACTGTTGCCCTCAGGCCATGGAATAACTCCTTCCTTCAAAAAATCCAAGAACGAGTTAGTAGTTTATTAACTGTTATGCCTCAGGTACTGGTCAAGCCTAGACTGTGGAATGCTAGACTCCAAGAGAGAGCTCTCCTAAGTTCTTGTTTGTTCTGAAAAACCACAAAATGAGTGACTGTACCTGCCCTTAGAGAACATAAGCCTGGTTCTCCACATGTAAAACAGTGTGGCATATGGAGCATGACACTTCAAAAGACTCGATCAAGCTTCCTTTGTGACTAAACTAGGTAGAACATGTTCTGAAAAGAAGGAAAGATGAATCTTCCGGTAAGACTTGCAGTGGAAAGAAGGTCTCTTTTTTCAGATCTGGCTGTTCCTCTCCAAAAGCATGTTTTCAAGAACTTTTTTGTTAGTCATACGGCAATGGTGTATGTGCTTTCCTAAACATGTACAGAAGGAACGATTAACTGGAGTGAGAAATCCTCTTCTGCAGGTAGATATTTTTTCCCCAGCATCTGCTAAAGCTGCTCCCTTGAATTCTTCCACTACATGAGGTACTAAATAAAGGACAAGAGCTTTTTCCTAGGAAGGGTTTGAATCTCTCTTCTGATCAATTTAGTGACATCTTGAGGAGAGCCGTTCAGTTCACATTGTGACATTTTCTTCCGCGTTTTTGAACCACTTAAGATATAAGCAGCAGTGATTCGAGTGACCTGAGAATGTTTTACCAGCGTAAGCTGAACTGCTGCCTGTGGTGTCATATAATTCAAGGTACCGGAAAAGGAACAAGGGAAGAGTTACCTTTCTGACTTGTGGAAAAGCTGCCCTGTGTGATAGCCTGGCCAAACACTTTAAAACTTACTGACAGATGAGGCAGAGTTCATGTTTCAGGGCAGATACGTCTGTGCTTTATTTTGACAGGCAACTCTGCTGTGTTCCTAAAAGCATAACCCTGGGCATTTATAAATGATGAGACATTAACGGATTAATTTACCGCCTAAACTGAAAATAACTTTCCTGGAGTGATGCTTCCTTCTCAAAGAAACTTGGATTGTTGGAAATGCCTCTTTCAGAGGATATCGTGCAGACTTGAAGAATGCAGTAGAGGTTAACTCTTGCTATGCTTTGATCATAGAACTTGAATACGTGTTTCATTTTTTGTGAACAGATTCATGACTCTTCTGCACCTATGTCTCTGGCCCAGCTTATCAAGGTATAGATATATTCTTGTCAAATACTTTAAAAAAACTCCAAGTTTTTGCTTTGTATTTTTAAGTCTTATACTGTGATCTATAGCTGGATAACTGTTGTAATGTGAACAAAACTGTAATTTCATTTTTAATAATTTAAAGTATTTATTTTAACTTTCAAATTGTAATTTCAATTACAGTTCAAAGTGTAATTTTTTCTGTACATAACTTCAGTCCACTTGGCAGGAAATTGGATTGGTTGCACAAGTCTTTGCGTAAGGCACTAACAGCGCTTACGGTTTAGAGTGCCCAAGAATGCTCTTTTCAAGTAGGTTGACAGGCACATAACATCATGTCCTGGGGTAAGGACTCCCCAGAACATCTTCAGGACAGCTCTGTTTTATATAAGTGCAGCTGTTTTCCTGCAACCTCAGTCAGCACTGTACTGCTGATTGCAGGATTGGGTGGGTGCTGCTGTCTTGGCTGTGTGGGCTTAAGTGTGTTTTCTGTCAAATAACTCCTGTTAAACAGACTGCCAATCTGGCAGAAGCCAACGCTTCCGAAGAAGAGAAGATAAAAGCTGTGATGATCCAGTCTTGCCAGGAATATCATCCCATCGAGTAAGTGTGGATAATGGCAAATCTGTTCTTGGGAGACTAGAGAAACATTGTAGAGGTGTCTGTTTTGATGAGAGAGACACATTCCTAACTTTTTCTTTTTTTTCCAAAAAACCTTTTAGTTCCATGAAGAAACCTCCACCATCTTATACGTGCTTCAGTTGTGGAACACCTGGCCACTATAGAACGGACTGCCCAACAAACAGGGTCAGACTGCGGGGGACTGGTGGTGTTCCTTAGGTTTTCATTTTTTTACCTTGGCACAAATACATGAATGCTTATATCAAGAATTGTTTCTCTTGGAGTGAAATACAGAGATGATATACGGCAATGTTGCAGAGCCCTTCGAAATTCAAGGGAAACCTAGAATTAGAAAAGCCAAATTTATGGTCATAGCAATTAAATACGTCCATAGGTCTTTCTCTGTGACCTTTCATGCTTAGTTTTGTATATTTCAATATTACTGAACATTTTTCTGGTTTTAAGTCTTTTTTTGATAACAATTCACAGTTTTTAGGGTTTCATCTAAACCCAAGATGTTTCCATTGACCCCATCTGTGGAATGTTTGCATGGTTTTAGTTACACAAGTCTCTGGTGTAACTCTCATGCCGTTCTACGTTAGTCACTGAATGTATGTGCAGGAGGTAGGAATTCAGCCTTCCTCTGTCAATGGTGATACGAGTTTCCCCAGCGACTGATTCAGAGCCCTCTGAATTGCACTTTGGAGAAGGAGGAGCGGGTTTGTGTCTCTTCTCTGAGTGGGTGGTGAGCCAAGGGCTGTTTCACCCTTCAGAAGCCTGAGGTTAAGCCAAAGAGTGTTGATTTGAGTTCAAACCACTGCTCAAGCCTTTGGAACATTGTGGCTATATTCTTTTAGGAAAATAAGTATTTTAGTTGAGCAACCCTTAGCTAGGTACAAGGAGAGGGTTAAAGGCTTACAGTAACCACTGAAATGTCATTTTAAGTGTGGGCCTCAAGATCTTGAGATCTGTCTGCATTTCTTCTTTTAACAGGACAAAAATGTTGAGTGTGTTCCCAGAATTAAAAAGAGCACGGGAATTCCACGGAGTTTCTTGAGGGAGGTGCATGATCCAAATACAAAGGGCGCTATGATGACAAACGATGGAAAATACGTAATACCAATTATTAATGCGTAAGCATGGAATGAATTGGACTGACTAAAACATGAACGAGAGAAACTGTGTCAATATTTGAGGGGCAACGCAGCCAAGTCAGCCAGCACCTCTAATTCCGGGGGAGGAAATACTGTCAGTGTAGCCTTAACCTTAAAATCTCTGATACTTTCCAATATTAAATAAAGTGGTGCTGCTGTTCATGACCCTGGGAGGGGGTTAAACTTGTGGTTTTCTGCCAAACGTTTCAGCAGTGTTTGCAGTGGAGCTGCTCTCATGGAAAGCTCATTTTACTTCTGGTTTCTGTTTCAAAAGCTTCTTGCCAAATTTGACAAATTCGGACTGAGATTTCCTCCCCCGCTGACTTTTATGAAATCCCAAGTGTGAAACAGAGTGGTTTTCCTGTTGCTGTAAACTCAGAAAATACTACTGTGTGCTGGCAAGAGTGGCCATTTAGAAACACGCTTGGTAGTATTTCTCTTTTTCTGTCATGGATCTTCATTTCTAGAACCTGTAACAGAGACACCTTTCGTTTATAAAATGTAACTGCTCGGAGACTACCTTTATCCTGAGCCTGCAATTTCCATTTACCCTCTGGCAAAGGAGAAGTGGGATTCATTCCACTTGATTTCTAGCTGTCAAAACATGATTTTTCTAGTCTTGAGTTAATTTCTTTGTTGATCCAATGAATGGGAGAGTTCTGCCAAAGGAAAATTGTGTCATCCCCTCCCTCCGCTTCCTGTGTTGTTGCTGCAGAAAAGTAGTTTCAATTAAATGCCTACGTTTTAGAAGGCTGATCTAGAGTGACAATTCCACCTATTATCTTCCTTGGATAAAATCCAATGCTTGGAGAATTTTTCCTGTATCCATCTTTAACCTTTTTTCTTTTTCCTTCCCCACCCCTCCTCCAGGGAAGCTTATGCTAGAGGAAAGAAGGAGAAGCCTTCCTTTTCACTGGAGGAGCCGTCGTCCTCCTCCACCTGCTCCGCAGATCCTGTTCCAGAGGAGCTGTTTTGTCTCATTTGTAAGGAGATAATGACTGACGCAGCTGTCATTCCCTGCTGTGGGAACAGTTACTGTGACAAATGCAAGTGTTATTCCCACGTTTGTTAAATCGTAACATGAAATCTGGTCTTCTGAAAGCAGAAATAGCAGATAATGGAATTACTTTGTTACCAGTTCTATTTAATGCTTCAGTATGCCCTGAGAAAGAAAAGGACTTCTCTTGTATAAATGAATTAAAAAAAAAAAAAAGGCTGAAAGCTTTTTTCCTTTTTCACCCATCTAGTTAAATCTTCTTTAGATACTAAAGGACAACAATGCAAAGAGCGTGTAACTGTGCCGGTGATTACAGTATTAGATATTGAATGCATTCAGGATGTCCACTAAAATGATTTCTCTCATACCAAATACGGGAGCCCACTCTAGTAACTCACTGCGATCTGCAACAAATGGAGAGTTGGGCATTTAATCCACATTCTTCTCCACAAGGGAGTTGGGTAAAACCTTCAGAACTCAAACCTACTACTGTTTTTTTGGGATGTGTTTATTCATCAACCTTGAGGTTGGTGACTTCTCACTGAACTAGATAGTGGAAAAAAGACTAGTTGAAACCTCAGGGCACAGCCTAGGCTCCATCTCCACAGGTTACAACAGTGAAACATCACAACTGTGTAGTTATTTGCTGCAGACTAGACATTTGTTACACCATTGAACATTTAGTGCTTCATGCTCTCCATTCCAGACCATATTCACGCATTAATCATATATGTGTTGTTATAATTGATTAGCATACCCAAATTTTCCTCCTTTTAGCTCAAAACTCTTTTGATGATTCTAATTATTCACAGGTATTAGAACAGCATTACTGGAATGCGAGGAACATATGTGCCCAATGTGTCATCAGACAGGTGTTTCACCTGATGCTTTAGATGCCAACATGTTCCTACATCAGGTAACACGATGACTTTGATGTAAACTGTTTGTAAGAAAAGTCTATTTGTAAAAAGCTGAAAAGGAAGAAAATACTAATTTACATCATTTATTTTAGAATTGATAGCTTTTACAGGAACACACAAGTAATTTAGTGTGGAGGCTTTTGTTTGTACAGCTACTGAAGTTTCGTAATACCTTTTTGGAAATGTTTTCCTGCCTCCAGGCTGTGAACAACTTCCACAATGGAACTGGCTGCACAAACGGGCTCCACCAGCAGATTCAGCAGCAACAGCAACAGCTGCTGCTTACGGAGGAGTAAGTATTTGGCTCAAGGAAGCTGTGTGGATTTTCATTTTTGTATTTCAAAAGCATATCGGACTGCAGCTACACTAAAGAGCATCTGACATAAGCCAAAATGACATAACAAGACAAGTGTAATTTGGATTTGTAGAAGTTGTAGATGCCCCATCCCTGGAAGTGTTCAAGGCCAGGTTGGATGGGGCTTTGAGCAACCTGGTGTAGTGGAAGGTGTCCCTGTTTATGGCAGGGGCGTTGGACTAGATGATCTTTGAGGTCCTTCCAACCCAAACCATTCCACGATTCTATGATTCTATGAATACTCTCCCTAAGACTTGTACGAATTCTAAACTGTTTTTGCTGATATAGGATGTTCCCCTTGTGCATTTGCATGCTGTGTGCATTTTCTCATATTGGCCATGGTTTGTTTCTTGGTGTCCCTTTGTAATAAAGGTCAAACTTATTTTAACAGGCAAAAGAAAAAGTCAAGACTTGATGAGTTTACAAATGATTCTGCTAAGGAACTGATGTAATGTAAAAAGATTCAAAAGGAGCGTAGGTGTTCGTTTTCCAGGTATCTGCTTACGCATGTGTAACGGAGAAAGCGATTGTCTAGAGGAATCAGGAGGTGTTCCGCTCCACCTCTCTGTCATTAGATAGATTGGATGATTCTAGGGATTAGCAGTGAGAGGAGTTTCATATGTAGGTTACTAGCTCAAATATGGCAGAGGTAGTTGACTGATAGTTGTAATTTGGCAGCAGCTGTTAAGGAACAGGCATTACTCTTTTACGTGAGGAGGCGAGAAACTGAACAGGTGTAGGTGCTGGATGCTCTGCATCTCCCTATTCCGATTGTAACCATCACCTCAAAGCACTTGGCAGGAGATACGTGAGAGAAATGGTCTTTCCTCTGCTGTTTATCTCCTGTGGATGCATGGGGAGATTTTAACCTGGACTGCAAACTGGTGGCTTTCGCTAGTAGTTTGGTGACATTGTTAAATTATTCTTAGGAAATAAAAGATCAGACTTGTTGTTAAGGAAATCTTACATTGGTGGAGGATTTGGAGAGGAGGAATGATGCTAATGAACATATGTGTAACAATGTGAAATGGTTCTTTAAACAGTAATAAAAGAAAAACTGGTGATGGCACTGAGTCAGAGTATGAGGGGCTGAGTTTAGAAGCTTTTAGTTATGATTTTTCTGGAAATGCAGTCACCATCCTTGGCTAGAGCTATTATGTGCAGGATTTTGCTCGGATGTCTGGCTAGAAGGGTTGATTCAGTAGTCCTGTGTGTAAGGTTGCAGCACACGTATTTTGCATCCTGCACAAATTGCCAAATAAGCAGCGCAGTTAAACAGACCAAGGTGGCCTTTTAAAATTGAGGTTTCCGGTCTTCAGGCTGAATCATGTTTTCTTGATAAACCTCGATGCTGCACTGTAGCCATTCAGACTTGCTCTTTTTGCATCTTACTGCAACCGCAGGTAGTTGCCGAGTAGTGAAAAACGTGCGCGTTCACGTAGCGGTAGAGGCCAGTATGCAGCACCTTGAGCAGATCAATAGCTGTGGTAGTTGACGTGCTAGACATGGGAACTAGACTTACCTTTCCTGTATGTTTTTACACTAACAATGCAGCAGCTGGTCTGTCTTGTCAGCAGAAACTGTGACATGTTATCAAGTTCTTCAATTTGCAGGAGCATTATGTCAGCAACTGAAAGAAGCTTTGACATAAACACATGGAGAAGACAAAAAAACCCAAACCAAATCTGGGAGGGAAAAAATTGTGAAGAGTGACTGTTTTGAATTAATTTCATTTATTTTTTTTTTATGTTGTGTTTTTTTGAAGGTCCAAGTCTCCCTGTAGTTCATCGTCTTACTCTCGAAGTTCATTTACCAACTCCCAGTCAAGATCAGGTTCTTCCCAGTCTCAGTTCGACTCTCGATCATTTAGTCATTCCAGTTCTTGTTCCTACCCGCGATCGCCACCGTATCCAAGAAGAGGCAAAGGGAAGAGTCCAACTATCATTCTAGGTCAAGGTCACGTGTGTCTCACCGTTCAAGGTCACCCTCATACAGAAGACACCATTCCTGGTCAAGGTCTCCAGTATTTGGAGGCCAGTCTGCTGCTGCACAGATTAAACCTCAAGGGGAGGGAGAAAGGGAGCACTTTAACAGGTACAACAGAGTTCCATCATATCCCATTAAAGCTTCCTGTGGCAGACCTGCTGACTTCAGAGATCCATCTGAAAAGGCAAGATACAGAGAACGGGAAAAGCGCTACAGAGAACGGTATGAAGACTTCCGCAAGGGCTGTGCTGTCAGCCCTCAAACTCCACATCCAGCAAAGAGAGAGAACTGTTCTCCAGACAGTTTTGGTCCCCCTGGGAGCAAACGAGAGAATCTGCTGTATGTTCAGGGATGTAGGGAGGAATGTCCTGGTGGGCAGAGCTGCAGAAATTGTAACAGAGGTGGAAATTACCATGAAAAAGAGAAGGAGGTGCAAAGTCCACTGGGAGATGGCAAACGGAATAGACGTAAAAAACACCGGAAGAGAAGAAACAGGGATAAGAATGAAGGATTTCCCAATGCCGTGTTGTTAGAAGGTGCTAGAAATCCAAGAGACACAGTTACAGCAGAAGACATAGATGTGGCTGTTCCTCCTAAGAAAGACACTACAGCCTCCCAAGAGATAGTGGACAGCGATCATGAAAAATCTCTTTGGATGGAACCTCCTGTGAAAAAAGTGAAGGAGAAGTAGCCAACATTTTTTTTTTCTGTTAATTCTTCTGCATATTAAATATTTTAAAACGTTTTTGAACTCGTGCATGCTCTTTATTTTGAAAAAAAGCACACAGCATCAATTAGCTTTTCCCAGTGTTTCGCTGTAGCTGCCAACCTTTCCAGAGCACAGCTAGGCTGTGAAACTTATTTTTTGCAAAGAGAGCAAGAGAAATCTCAAGAAAAGATCTTCCCCGTAACAGCCCAATTCAGTAGAAGCATCAATGACTGCAAACGTGACCATCGAGTAACTCAGTTGCACTAATGAGATGTTCAGAGGAGCTTACTGCACTGACTGAGACCAAAATCTTCACTGGAAGGCAGAATTAAACGGGCAGCCTTCTCTCCAGATTCCTTCGTTGGGAATTTGTAGCATCGATTATGTGTTACTGTAATGG